ATCGCTAAGTCTCCGTGATGGTCGAGTCGGCACGCCCTCCGAGCCTCACCGCCCAGCCTCGCCATCACCGAGCCTCACCGCCATGCCTAGTCTTCGTCGAGCTTTGCTGCGCCGCCGAGCTCTCTGCACTTTAGCTTTTAGGATTCGTAGGAAAAGAAAGACAGAGATGGAGGGCTGAGGAATCGGACTCACAAATGCAAAAGAACAACCCGACTTTTTTTTTCCACAACCTAACCTTAAGACGAGCCGTATTAGTTAATTTTCAAAATTTAAATTTCCGGTTGGACCACCCGAAGTTTCCGGTTTTGATCGATTTTTTTCCAGATTTACAATAGCATCATACTCAGCTCGGTGACATTCCAACTGGTTTCATGACTGGTACCGGTTGAATCTGGTCCAATCGGTTTCATGATTGTTACCAGTTGAACCTGGTCCAACCGGTTGACATGCCAATGCCATGACAATCCTGCTTATTAATTAACAAGTGTTACAGTTCGTTTGGCTTCGGTTTAACCAAACCAAAAAAATTGGTTAATCGGCAACCAAAATGATGAAATTGATCACCAACACCACATCAAAATCGATAACCGTTAATACCAGTTCGGTTAGTCGATAAACCATTGACCAACCAATAATTAAAAATATGTAATATAATATAATGTCACCAAGATCATACCCTTTTGTCTTATTCACTCTCGTCTCGTTCAAAATCTTCAAATATTTTTTTACCACAAACTCTTCTTTAGTTGCCGCTATTTTTTATTTTTAGTGATGCAATCTCCGATCACTAGTTATCGAATGCATGGGAAGATGATCAGAACTCTTCTCGGGTAATTTAGTGACTCTCCTTGGCTATTAAGGCAACAACTCAGGCAAAGTTGGCAAATGTCTATTGAGGTTGTAGATTCGACGATGAAAGAATGAAGAAGTTAGGGGGAAGTCAGGGTGCAACCGAGACTCGGGAAGGGTGTGTGCCGTGGGGGTGGGGGACAAGGCCGAACCTGAGAGGAATTAGGGTTGCCTCTTCGACTTCCATCCTCATTTGCTTTCTTTCGCCAATTTGCAAACAAGAGTAGTGAATTGATGACTGGGATATGCTTTTTGAGTTTCTAGGTCAGGTTGATGGGTTGGTGTGCGTGGGAATTGGAAATTGATGTTGAGAATGAGACTGGAGGTTGAGGGGCAAAGGAGATCGGAGTCTCTCAATGGGAAAGGAGCCCAGGAGACGTCGGTTGGTGTCTCCTGAGTGACTAATTTGGACTGATCGGTTACTTACTGGTTGAACAATTTCTAATCGGTTAGTAATTGGTAATTGTTGGTTAGCGTATAACTCCAAATACTTCTACCAAAGCCAACTAACCACTTTTTAAGGTACGACTTTGGGTTAACTGACTAACCGAGCTCTGACTATCACCCCTAGTTATTACTACTTACTAGTTGTGGTTGTGGTTGTGGTTAAGCCCTGGTCGGGGTGGTTGGTCGAGTAGGAGAAACTTGCACCCAGCTACCAATCTAATTCGAATTGGTTTGGGCGGTTTGATGCATACCCCTTTGTTCTGAAAAAAGATCAGTGAGGGAAGATGTAAGACTTTAGGCAATCTAACGTCGGAAAAAAGAAAGATCCATAGTTCATAAGGAACAATCCAACCTTAATTGACAAGATGCATTTTGGAGTAAAATGGATGAGTTCTTGTAAGAACTCTGAAAGTTAAACATGCATAGTGTGGAGTAGTGCAAATTAAAGATAGGTGACCTCTTAGAAAGTCACTATGATTCGCCCAAAAGCAAAATCAAGCGAGATAGGCCCAAAGAGAGCAATATTTTGGTCATAAAAGGGTTGAAATGTTACAAGTGGTATCATAGTCTCTATGTGTTCCTCCTGAATGAGGATGGGGAAAACCTCAATGAGGACGTTAAGTCCCCGAAAAGGGGTGTAATGTAACATGTCAAGCAAATCTCACATTGACAAAGCACGTAAGAGATCCATGGTTCATAAAGAACAATTCAATCTTAACTGACAAGACGAGTCATTATTGAGTAGGAAAGATGACTGACCACCCGGGAAGTCACCATGATACACCAAAAAATAAAGTTATGCGAGATAGACTCAAAGCAGACAAAATCTTGGTAATAAAAAGGTTTGAATGTTATCGAAATGAGAGATTAACATGGATGGGATCGAAGTTAAGGGAAAGGAAGGAATGAAGGAAGAGGGGGCAAACACCGAGGGTTCGTTTGCATGAATCATTTAGTATCAAATGACTCGTTTGCCAATGAAAAAAAAAAAAACAAGACAAGTCATTTACAAATGAATGTCCTCCAAAATGACTTATATTTTCCTCACTACTTTTCAAAGACTAACTCTTCTCTATTTTGTCTTCATAAATATAATACTTTTCAATTGTTTTCAAAAATACTTTTCAATTATATTTCATTAATGCATTTACATTTTTATAATAAAATAGTCGTTATGGAAATTGGTTACGAATATATTATGTTTGGTTGTGAATTATATACTTTAGAACTGTTACTATTTGTAAAGAAAGTTAACATAAAATTATCTTTAAAAAATAAAAGATAGTATTACTATATATATGCTAATACTCAATTAATATGTTACACGTTGGTTGCAAAATGAATTAATTTTTGTGTTTGACTTTATTAGGAAAGCCAACAAGAAAATGAAACATATTACATCTAACAGCAAAATGGTAACATTACATGACTGACTCATTGAAAAATGACTCATCTAAGAATATTTTTAAAAACAATTCGTTTATAAATATCTAATTTGTCAAATCTCTATTGTTTACACCTAAAATTCAATTTGGCCTAATTAATTACCACATTACTTAGTTCAAAGCATTTAATTGGCTGTAAATGAGCCAACCATATTAATTTTGCCAAGGAAGCAACGTTGTTTAGTTGAGAATAACGTCGTGAATTTCGTAGCGAGCTGCATCTCGGTGGGTGACATTGAAAGTTTAGTGGTGTTGTGAGTTTAACAACGTTGCGGATCTCAATGATGGCACGATATCAATAGTGTCATGAAGTCAACAATGCCGCACTACTGAGAAGCGACATTGTTTAGGCGAAAACAACATCGAGGTTGAAAATTCCTACAAACAAACAGAAAGAAAAACAAAGTATCGAGTATGAAAATTCCACGATTTCAACGACATTGTGAGTTTAACAACATTGAGGTGTTCGACGATCCCGAGAGCTCGACATCCATGCGAGTTCAGCGACATTGTGAATTTGACGATGCCATCAAGGGGAAACAACGAGGTTGTTTTTATCTAAAGTAGTATGGCATAACGACATCGTAGCCGAGCCACTTGTTTTTACATGGATTTGCTAGTGGTTCGAGGGCACGTTCCAACTCGATGTGAATATGGGATTTGTTGTATCATAGTTCATGTAAGCATAGCGGTTTGTCTTTGCATGCTCGCTAAGCGTGATGGTTTAGCAAGAATAGAAACACAATTGAGAACAAGGGTGCACTCTTGTGAATTTATGGTTTGATAATGTTTAGTGTTAATAGTTGCTCCAAACATGTGATGAAACGCCAATAGTATGAGCAAGTGAGCTTGTGACATGGAATAGTAACGACCATGATTAGGCTTGTCTGCTCGAGGTTCATGGTGGTGTCATTGTCTTTGCAGGTAGTGATGGCTTGAGCAATGTTGTCACTGGTCTTCGGTATGACGACACGAAATGGCTTATCGAGCCACACCATTGTAGAGTTGTGAGGTCTACCCGGTAAAGTTTGGGGTTTGATTAGTGCCTAATTATACATATTTTGGTCTTTATTTTTTGACCGTTTTGTCATGGTAATATTCGTTCATTGGATATTTTATGCAGATTGTGCTTCTTATGTCATATTTCAGGTCCTATCACGTGGATATGGTTTAGGAATGATTTTGGGACATTTGGGGAAAAAACATGACCAATGAGGATCGAGAGTCGAAGTTACGACCAGAAGGACTCGAGTGACGGTCTTGAACATGACATTCCTTCCCAAACTGTGACCTTAATTGAGATCGAAGAGGCTTTTTCATGGTTATGGACAAGACTCAAGAGTCAGGGTCTAGCCGTGACAATCAACGTTTAGACCATGACATTTGTCTTAGATCCATGAGCATTTTTGAAGGTCACGTTTGACCATTCAAAGTCATAGTCATGACTCATGATCGTGACATCCTACACCAAATTGTGGCCTCTTCTCTGGCAACTAAATGTCACAAAGCCGTTTTTGGTCCAAAGTCATGGGCTGATGTTGCAAGTCACGATCGTGACTTAGATCGTTACATGCACACTTCAGGTATAAATGGGCAATGGCAGGATTTTAACTAGGATCCGACTTCTTGCATCTAAAACAACAAGAGGGAGATCCCTAGAGAGAGAAAGTGATGAGAGAAACTTCTTTGGAGCTGATTTGAGTCATCCTTCCACCATTAGATCTCAACATTTGATCCCTAGAGTGGGGGATTTCTGACCAGAAGCAGATTATCATCATCACCATGATGTTTTCACACTTCTCATCGTATTCTTCTCTTTCTATACGGAGTAGACTCTCTTATCAGTTGGTTGTTGAGGAACCTTAGTTTTCTATGTTAGATTGATGATTGTTTGAGAATCTAGATCGTTGAACTTGAAGTTTATATCCAATTGATGCATTTTTTCATGAGTTGTCTAAATCCCAATCAAATTCTTATAATTTATGCTTAACCTAGGAGAGAGAATACATGGATTTGGTCCCTAAAAAAACTGCAAACAAAAGACGGATTTCCTTTAAATCTATGATGGATCATCATTCAAATTCATAAAGCAAATGACCCCTAAACTTACTTCGACTATATTGCATACCCGTCATTGGTTGTGCTTGATCATTGATTTGGAGTTGTAAGTTTTTAGTAAGGATTTCCTCACACGTGGGAGTTATGCGAAGTGGAGTGTACGACTAAGAAAAGTGGAGAAATTACGTTACAAATTTCACACAAAGAGTTTCGGGAGTAGTTGAAGATCAAAACGGAACCTTCCAAATCACCAGTTCACCACCATCTGCTGATAGCTCCCTCCAGTCAACCATCAATCAATCATGTCTTCCACATCCAACCTCGGGTGCGCCGTCGTCGCCGTCGACGGCAGCGAGGAGAGCATGTACGCCTTGCGGTGGGCGCTCGACAACGTCCACCTCCGATCTCCTCCCGCCGACTCCAGCGAATTGCCGGGATCATTCGTCGTCGTCCACGTCCAATCGCCGCCGTCTATCGCCGCAGGCCTCAATCCAGGCGCCATACCTTTCGGCGGTCCAAGTTAGTCTCCTGCTCCTTTACTCGTTCTACTTCCCTTATCGGTTGCGCCCGACCATCGCGTTTGATGTTCCTTAATCTGTTAAATTGCTCGAGTTCGAGCTCTAAGTCGGTTCCTCGAAACTGTTTGGAATCAGTCGATCTGGAGGTTCCCGCGTTCGCCGCAGCGATTGAGGCGCACCAGAAACGAATTACGCAGGCAATCTTGGATCACGCCCTGGAGATTTGTCGGCAAAAGAAGGTTTTCATTCCCACTTCATTTTTTTCAGGCTTCTAACTGCTGCCTTCATCGATGAGCTCTATCTCAAATTGGGACTGGAAATTTCTGTTCCAGGTTACTGTGAAATCGCAAGTGGTGATTGGAGATCCCAAAGACAAGATATGTGAAGTTGTGGAGAGTCTTAATGCGGATTTGCTGGTGATGGGCTCCCGAGACTTTGGTGCTATCAAAAGGTGCTGTACTTGAAAACTAAGCAGTTCATTATTGGTTGATGATGTTTGGTGATTGGGGATGCCATATACTGGTGTCCTTTTGAGCTCTAGATGTTGATGGGTTTCCTTGGGATAGATTCTGTTCTGTGGACGAAGAGTTGTAGAGATAATTTTCAAGGTCACAGGTTATGTAGAAGCTAATGTGTAAACAAGATTCAATGGTTTGGTAGAGACAGGCCTTCAAATGGTAGATCAGGGTAGATCATGTATGAAGTTATCTTAAATATGTGTTTATTTGTGAAAACATCTTAGCTTCACTAGGACTGCTGTGATCTTATCTTACACAAGAACACAAGTGATGTGCTAACATCTGGTGTTCGTCGACAGGATGTTCTTGGGGAGTGTAAGCAACTATTGTGCAAACCACGCACAATGTCCTGTCATTATAATCAAGGGAAAGGGCAAGGAGGAGGAAACTTCTTCATAGACAAATAAGGTATGTCCATATTTCTGGGTCGTTACTTCTAGGCCATCAGGTTAATTTCATTGTCACAATGATACTCTAGGGTAGAAATATATTCTCTCTGCCACTGGTTTTTTCTGTTTATTAGTTCGAATGTATGACTTTGTTTACTTTCAACAACCATTCTGGCAATTCTTACCAATGGGTTATGCTTTCCGACCCCGAGTTATCTGTTTGAGCTGAATCACCTTGCAACTGCTTTACATTCTTGACAAAGAAGCCTTGTGAGTTGCTATGTATCAGATTAATATTTTAGCTCTACTTCGATCTGACTTTTGCTTGTTTCCCGTAATTGTGACCGACTTGTTAAAAAAGGTTGAGTTGGGTCATCAATAAGCTGGGTATCTTTTGTCAACAGGTGAAGGGTTATAAGTATAGTAAATGTCATCAAACAGTGATCATTGTAGGAACTGGAGTGAGAAATCTGGACTTTCCTCGGGATGATTTATTAAGCATGACTGCCTGATAGCAAATATGGGATTGCTTGCATCTATTTTCCTTTTTGCTTAAAATACTAGAAATCGTAGGTTTTACAGACTCTGAAAATGCAAACTAATCTGGTAAAAATGTTTATTAGTTCATTAGTTGAGAAATGACAGCTCGTTTTAGGATTCTGTCTCTGTAAAGGCCAAGCTGCACATCCCTCTTAAAATGTGAATGCCCACCTCTCTTTATGCCATTTAGAGCGTATTTTGTTAAAATCATTGACGGCGTATTCGATTTTAGATATTATACTCGGTGAAGACAATTTAAAAGATCATGTATGTTGTTTTCAGTTCGACACATTGACAGTCTGGCTTCTCATATGCAGCTCTATGTTCACTTGCAGTTTGTTTTTGTTATTTGCTATGGGTTCCAACTTATACATATGAACAATGTTTCTTTCTTGCAGAATCATAATTCTTCCAGTCCAATCCGCATGTGTTTCAGTAAGACTACTTGTTGTGCTGTCTTCTCTTGTTTTGCGTGTAAATTTGCTATGGCGTTCATTGATATAAGTTGAAGCAAAATATCAAGAAAAGAAGTACGTGTACCAGGTTTGCATCATGTCGTCAAGTGTAATCGCCACTGTAGAGTTACGGTCACAGGTTGGATTGTTAGAGAGAAGTGTTTCCGACACCTCTGAAGCAGAATTCTTCGTCAGAGGTGTTTTGGGTGGGAGATGACACTTTTTATGGAACCTGTTTCTGATGAAATCTTTTGTTTCTCAACATCAATGACTGGCGGCGGCTTGAGATGTTGTAATGTTTGGTGATTTTGAATAAGAACAAACTGTAGAATGACTTCAGTTGCTTTGCTTGTGTGTCCTGACAGACGTGGTAGAAGTTTGCTTGACATTTTGTGAATTCTTATGGAAAATGGATACGCGATCTTTCTCCGTTCAAACTTCAATCTTCTCAATTGCAGCGGTGGGGATTTTATGATGAGCTTGTTGTGATGGGACAATGTTGGGCTGTCTAAGGTCCATCCATGTCTTGGATGCGTCCAGTAGAAGGGGGGGGGGGGGGGGGGGGGGATTTCGTTCATTTCGGTTCAAATCAAGTCGAAAAGATGATTATCGAATCCCTGAAGTAGTTCATGGAGCAAACCGAATATAAACTGAAATATATCCCGATTCGATTCAATTTTAAGATCACACTCGAAGTTTCATAGATCAACTCTCTCCACCCATTTGGCCACTTAGGCACTTACCCTATCTCCCCATTTACTATTACTGCGCAGAATAAATTCTTTCACTATCTCTCTTTCTTTCTCTCTCTTTAGAGCACAACGCAACGGTGATTTTTCCTAGGGGTGGGCATTGGGTGGGTCGGGTGGATTTTGACCATAAAATGCACCCACCCGCGCTTAAACGGATTGATAATTTTTAACCCACCACCCACCCACATTTAGTCTTGGGTTGGGTCGGGCGGATGGTGGATGATGCGGGTGGGTTTGTGGGTTCACCCACATCACAATGTATATATTAAAAAGGAGTCAACTTGACATGATAATAGGTGAAGAGAATCATCGAGGGAAACAAGAAGTTGAAATAGGGCGAAAAATGTCGAATTAGTTCTTAAATTGGATAGAAATTCTATTATGAAAGAGTTTTCTACAGATTGAGACGATTATTAGGTGCAAGGAACTAAGGAAAATAATTCCGCAAAGGAAAGAGCGGTGATCTAGGCACAAGAATTAGAGGAAAAAGTAAAGGGAAGAAGAGGGGATCTCTATTTGGAAGGTTGGCTTTGAGGTTCAAACTCTAGGAGCAGTCCGAGTTTATATCTAACGTCTCCACTCTCCTCTCTCTAGCGCCAACGAATTTGATCTTTTTGCTGTTGGGTTGAGCGGGTCACCCGCACACTCACCCACAACCCACCCACCACCCGGCGGATGGCTCCCAGCGCAACCCGTCACCCACCCACAGACCCACCCACTTAACGAAATTCGGGTCAAATGCGGATGGGTCGGCCCAAACCCGCGGATGATCCGCCCGCATGCCCAGCCCTAATTTCTCCTTCCGTCTCTATACTCAACAACAATGATGATTGATGGAGAGAACAACCCAGTGGTGACAGCGACGGCGATTGACATCGATGATTGTGATGACTCCGACAATGAAGGTTGGAGGTTAGTAAGGCTTAATATCCAAGTATGCATGAAATTTTTTGGTTTGTTTTCTCCTTCGCCTGAGCGTCTCTCATCGATTTCGTGCTGCTTTTTTGTATTGGGTTGAAGCCTTAAAGGGAAGCGATGGCGTCGAGCAGATCTTGGATTGGGGGCGATGCCGCGATGGCGTCGAAACTGGCAGATCTTGAAAGAGCTCAAGGATTTGTGCTCTCCACCCAATCTGCCAAGCCTTTTTTCCTCCCTTCGTCAGCTATTGTTGCAATCGCCGGTGGGGACTCGAACTCCGCCGTCGTTCTCCTATTTTGCCGTCGAGAAACTCTATTCACCAATCACCACAAAATTGTCGCTAAGCCTTCAGGCTTCACAAACGATTGTTGTGAGGTTAGGGCTAGACTAGGATTTCAGTAGAGAAATGGGAAAATAGATGTAGCGGGCTTGTGTAAGTTTGGTTGGTCGGTTCGGAGTTCGGAAATCGGGTTCGGTTGGGCAGACCCTGGTTTTTGAAATATTGAATTTTGTCTTTCGAATTTCGAACCGACCAAGGGTAATTTGGTTTCGGTTCGGTTTAGTTGATTTTTATTTTATAAAAAGAAAAAATTACACTCTATTTGATTTTGTTTTGCATAACTCAAACTCGAAGAAGTCATTACAATCATACAAACACGTGATACCGAAAAGAGGGAGCATCATGGGCATCAAAACGTCAAAGCTCAAAGCAAGCACCATCGAACAAGCACCTAGCAAAACAAGAGGCCTCTACTCAACATAAAACCGCTTACAACAAAGTATCACTTCACAGGGGCATATGATGAAGACGATCTATAAGATATGTGTAGAGATAACCTAACTACCAAAGAGATGGAGCTAGCTCTCAGAATTATCTACAGAGGAAAACATACAAAGATGGTTCCAGAACCTCCCAAGAAAATTAATAATAGCATTGATAATGAAGAACCAACAGTAAAGACCAGGAGCCTTAAGAAGAGTCTCCAATATGAAATGTTGATGATCAGACCAACATTAAATCCAACAAAGGAAAGGAACACGATCCCACCAACATCCAAGAGATTGTGGAGGAGTTCATCAACAAAGAAAGAGCATCAAGATCAATGGAAGAGAATTCAAGCCACACCCATCATGAGTGAAACTCAAGTTGGGAGAAGGAATCTTACAAAGAGTGCAACTTCGATCTTGGAGAACAATTATCCTCTACATCATCATTAACAATGTCCTTAATTGACTTTGAATATCGATTAAAGCATTCAAGGTCCTCTTGAGTGAGTTGCTTAGAGGGATTCTACCCTCAACTAAGACAACCAACAAAGGAAATTTGGCCTAGACCGTCTATTGGAATGTCATCCAATACAAAAGTAATGGGTAGACTCACTTTAGCGCATCAACCCCTACTTCTAATCAATGAGTGCTCTAATCAAGCTAATCTGATATTCTCTCTAGTAGGTCAAAGTAGAAATCACAATACTTGATCAAGGCAAAGATGATTCACAAAATATGCATCAATTGGTCGAGTTCCCTCTCTCTAGGGTTTGTTTCTTGGGTGTTTTGAAGTTCAAAACTCTAAGAAAACGTACTTATACCCGGGTAAAGGAGAAATTCAAAATCCTAAATCTCAAGTGGGTGAGAGTTCATGGTCGCGAAGAACCAAAACAAATCACAACACTTAAGATAGGGGAAAAGTCATGATTAGGAGGAGAAGGAAAGTCACGGTCGTGACTTTGGGTAGGCTGGTCGTGAAAATGCCTAAGAACTCCTAAATTGTTGCATAGTTGGAAACTTGATTCTCACGGTTATGACTTCCATGTCCATGGTCGTAAGAATTCTTGTAGGCCCTCCTTTGCTCTTTTTTTGCCACCAAATGCCCTAGAACTCAATCCCAGCCCTGTCCACATATTAGGACCTGAAAAATGACAAAGAAAAACAACCTAGTGTAAAAATGGATAAAGGAAAAGTGTTTTCAAGGTAAATGATCAAGAAACGATCAAGAATCAAATGTGTCTAAATTAGCATGCATAAATTACCATCACTTAGGGTTTATAAAGGATTAGGATTATTAGTGAAGGAAAAAAGGGGAAATATTGGAATACAATTATATGTGTTAAACCAAGTTTCTACGTTTAAGTAAGTAAACAATATTATTCTTTGGATTTTTCCAAAATGCTTGAGTTACTAAAAATTTCCAACACACTTGCACTAAATTTGTTTCAAAATACTAGAGTTGGGCTGGTCCGATTGGCACACCGGTGAACCATAACGTGGTTCACTGAATCATAAAGCGATTAAAGTGGATTGCCCAAATATGAAGCGAACCATTGATTGTTCGCTCAAATTAAAGCAACCCATCAAGTTCGTGTTAGAGACATGCGATTGGTTCAGACTGATAGAGGAAGATCGCTCCAAACAAGTGCGATGATGGCACGTTGCATCGAAAAAGCTCAGTTGAGAGGTGATCAATGTGCTTGATCACTAGTTTGTCCAATAATAGCGCGGCGCTGATGTCTTAGCAATCCACTTCCCATGCATGCTGTCACCATGCATACACTCGTCTAAGTAGTTGCTAGAACCCTATGACCTAAAAATGTAAACAAGGATATAAATAAGGGCTAATACCAATAGGAAACCCCAAGTATTAACTTTGTGCCATTTGTATCCTAAAGTATTTGATACGACAATTGTGTCCCAAAGTATTTTTCCGTTATGGTTGACTACCGTTGACCGTTAATTTTGAATTAATTGACAGGTCATCGCTGATGTGTCGTCTAGGTGGATTTTTTTATTTACAAACTCGAGCCCGTGTTTACACGTCATATTAAAAAAAAAAGTTAAATGAAATTGGGGTTTCACCCGAACCCGAATCACTTTTACCCCTCCCCTCCCTCGACTTCCCCCAAAGAAACTCAAGAACCCTAACCTTTCTCCCGATTCTCCGATTCTCTTCCCCGACGAACAGAGGGGAGTCGATTCGCCAGCTCCTTTGTCTGTCAACATCTCAAACATCGGGCGCGGCGCAGGGACGGACATCCTCGACGGCAACTTCGAAACCTTCGGGCGCGGCGGGCAGGGAGGAACGAAGGGGCCTGCGCGATTTCTTCTGCAATCATCGTCGCCGACCTTGCGCGAGTGGTTGTATCATCTTCTTGTGAGGAGTAGATGATGCCTCTACTATCAGAGGTATCGGGCTGTATGGAATTTTGTTTCGCCCAAAATTTCTAGGGTTTTGGAGCGAAGGGGCTTGTCCGTTTTTCTGGAGTTGTGGAGCTATTTGAAGGTCAATTAAGTAGGTAGGAAGCGAAAGGAAGGTGGTAATCGCACAAGAAAGTAAATGTGGTGGGTACGAAGTGGCTTTGCTCTGTAAGATTCGCTGGAAGTAGAAGGGGAAAGCAGGGACCACGACGAAGCTGTGAAGACGAGATTACCCCCTTTGCGAGTTGAGCAACAGGTACGAATTCAATTCCAAAAGCACCTTCTGGTCATTTCCATCCATGTATAGTGATTTGGTTGTATTGGAGTTGTAATATTCAATTCATAAAGGTCACGGGTTTGTGGATTGCTAGATTGCAAAGTTGTCTTTTAGCAACTTTCGGGAATGCTTTTAATGGTAGAAAATTATTGACCCTAGTATGTGATTGGATTAATATAATCGAGGATTTGTAATATTAACCATGTTATGTAACGTGCAGGATGACTACGTACTTGGAATTGATAGTCCACCATGGTGGGAAAATGGACTATTCTGAGGAGGTTCCTCGCTACCTAAATGGCAAGATTGAAGAAGTTGACATGGACCTAGACTACATCTCCTACTTCCAGTTACAACAACTTGGTGTTGTCCACTTTGAATACGCTAGGGTCAAGCGCTTGTGGTATATGGCTCCATCGCATAATTTGGGAAATGGTTTGGTTGAAATAAGGTCCGACACCGAGGTAATGGATGGACTGATTCATGCAGTTGAAAATGAAAAAATTGTCATCTTTATGGAAGGTATAGAAACTCAAGTTGGAGATAATAAAGAGGCTGGTGGAGGGAACAGTGATGACTATGATACAGAAGGTGATGAGGAGTCACAGAATCGAGACATCATCCATCTTATGGATGATGATGTGCGCACTTCTGATGATGAGTTCGTCGATGCTTTGGAGAATCAAGGGATTAGAGCAAGACGGATGAGAGTTCGAACCATTAAAGATGCAACTGGTGAAGCTGTGGAGCAGGAATCTGTAACTGATTATGAGCAGACCGAACAAGATGTTCCCTCAAATGCTATGGGATCTGAAGATGAAGAAGCTGAAGATGAAGAAGCTGAAGCTATCCCACATGTACAGTCAGAACAAGGGGGAAACCAAACTCAACCCGAAGCTGAAGATATGGCACATGAAAGGGCAGAACAAGTGGGAAACCAAACTCTACCCGAATCAGAATATAGAGGTTCAGTTGACTCACGACATGTTCGTGGGAATCTAGACGAAGAGCCAGCTGATCCTATTTATGACGGTCCCCACTATGACCCCAGATGTGAACATTCTACACTAAAGTTCACGGTGGGAATGAGCTTCAATTCCCCGGAGCAGTTCAAAGTGGCAGTGGAGAGGAGCATTCCATCTCAATTGGAGCCGATATCAAGTGGACGAGAAGTGACAAGAATAAGAAGCGTGCTGAATGTCGCCAGAAGTGTGGGTGGTTGAATGTTCTTTTCTTTGTTAATGGTAGGAAGCACACATCAATCGTGCTGTCACTAGTAGACGTGCTCAAGACAGAGAAGTTAGGATGGTAAGTTATTCGTTTCATTGTACTCGACAACTTTGACATGTTAGCGGTATAGTAACTCACTTCAATTATTTGCAGGCCAACCAAGGAATTGGTGTGTTGCACACTGATTTAGGAAACACATATGTGATACTAAATGGTCCAGATAGACCAGGAAGGGTGTTGAGAAGTGGCAGGCCATATGGCAACCTTGGTACCGGGTCAACGCCTACGGTGATTGCTGAAGGAGGATCACAACCACCACCGACACAGCCGAGCCAGCAGCAGTAGGAAAGTGGTTGTAAATGGGTGGTATTAGGGGATGTAGGGTTAACGTAGTAGATTATGGATATTATGGATGGTCATGTTTATTTTGCGCAAATATGGTTGCGTTATATCCGGAGGAAATCATGTAAGATTCCCAAACAATGGATTAATTTTGTAACTGACCAACACAATTATGTATGTGTATGGTTCAGACTATGATATTGATCATCTTCTGTTGAACAATTCAGGAATCAGGATGTTTGAATGGTATGTTTATAAGATGATGCTATCGTTGTTTGCTTACTGTCATACAAGGGAATTCCTCAACGTGAGATTCAATAACATACAGAAACAGGATTGTTTGCTAACATCGTAAATAAACTCGAGCCATAAGTTACAGAATACATGTGCATTTGCAGACTTCATTTCAGTCCTGCAATGGCAATGCCTACAAGCAGTCCAACGAAAAGGAACAACACAAACAAGAATCGAGCATTGGCCAACTTCAGTTCCCCTACCAGCCTAGTGTTTTCCTCCCTAATGCTAACTAAATCATCAAACAAACATTTTTTAGCCTGCTTCCTTCGCTCAGCTTTCTCTTCGGCAAGTTTCAAGCTTTCCTTCAAGCTCGTAACATGAATCTCCATCGAAGCATACTTCGTCCTAATGTCTTCATCATCTGCCACAATCACATTGGAGCTAGGGGTTTCCTCTTCATCATTACCCTGATCCACCCAACGCCAGAATATACAATTTTTTGAAGGCTCCTGACAAATAAATCAAGATGTAGTGAGCTGTTGTTTGCGAATAAAATCCCCCAACTAAACAAATAATGCATAAATTACCTTCCAATATGGGCAACAGTAGAATCCCCTCCCCGGATTGAGTTCTGTCCCTGAAACATAAGACTTTGCTGGTATATTATGCCCACACTTCACGATTCGAGAGTTGGAAGAATTGGAGTCACAAGTGCTTTGGCCGAATCTCCTTCCCGACATGTTTTAATTGCTGCCACAAAACCCATTCATTATGGAGAATGAGAACCCAACATCAAACCCTAAAACAACCCAACAACAGCTTCTCACCTGGTTTCCTCGACAAACTAATTCCGAAGCACGCCGTCGCACCACTATCCTCGCCGCAATGAATACCAAATCACCACGAACCGGCGCCGCTCCGCGTTACTGAAACCCAGCGTCGTCGCCACTCCGACGCGAGGGAGCTATCGCAGTCTCTCCTCTGCCCTCTGCTCGCGACGACCCTCTGCCCTCTGCTCGCGACGCCCTCTGCTCGCGACGACCCTCTCGCAAAGAAGAAGTTTGGAAATAGAGGAGCTACAAAGAAGATGAAGAGGGTTAAAATAAAGGGTTTTTTAATTTTAAATCATATTTTTTTTAATTTAAATCAGAATGGTAAATTTTTTTTACTAATCTGACGTGTTTGCCTATGTGTCGTCTACGTGGCCAACAGGATTGTGCCACGCAAGCTTCGGAAGCTGACCTAACGGCCGTCTGTCTGGTCAACCGTTACTTTTAACGGTCAACGAAACTGTCAGGATACAAATGACACAAAACTACAATACTTTGGGACACAATTGTCGTATCAAATACTTTAGGATACAAATGGCACAAAGTTAATACTTGGGGTTTCCTATTGGTATTAGCCCTATAAATAAGTATGTATATCTATCAAATATATTTTTTAGGTAGTTGATGAACAATAAATCATAGAACTAGAGCGTATAATTACTAACGTGATCATCTAAATACCACATAAATCATTGTGTTCTTTCATTGCCATAGATTAGTTTACTCACCATTCTTCAATTACTAAAATGACGATTTTTCCCCCCTACATACAAACCTTGAGTGCATCCCTAAAAATCATAATGAAAAGAGAAACTTACCCACACATTGTCTCACACGAATTCTTCTGTTCCACTTCCACTAACTTATCCACAAACTTCAGTACCCTCAAAGATTTCATGATCCTAGTCAAACAAAAAACAATCAAATTATCTTATCCCATTCACACTTAGTGCCATGGTACTATTTTATTTGTTTGGGTTAAAGGTTAAAGACTTGGGTGGCATCCTCTCCTACTCCACTGAAATCTAAAAAGGGGAAACAGCAAACTTAATCGCATCAATTCAATACTACTGCCTCTTCATTGGGCGACCGTCCAATCATGCATCTCCTCCTTAACTCCCTTTTTTTCATTGCATTGATCAAGTAGCTAGGCTACGCATGCATCCAGAGGCCGGAGTCAGGATTCTGAGACCGGGTAAGAAATTTTTAGTGTATTATTTTAAATGGGTAATAAAAAAAATTGCATCTTGAAGATTTTTTTTTGAAATAATTAAATTAGCTCAAAATAAAATTTACTATGATATGTTCAACATTTGCATATGAATAATAAAGGTATAGCTTACATTTAAAAGATTCTCATTAAAATATAATTTTGTTTGCTAGAAAACTTAATTGATCAGGTTTTAAGTTAAATGATTAAGAATATAAATTACCCATGCTAAACAGTGATAATAAATTGTTAAGGAAAAAAGATGTTTATTTTCATGACTAAAATTGAATGTTTGACAATATTTGTCTTTGGAAAAATAAAATTATTGCTTATGTGTAAAAACTATCGTTAAAATATAATTACTCCTCCGCTAGGCGATATCGATTAGGATTTATTAAATCTAATCTAGTTAATACGTAATTTTCATAACTTTCGCGCATTCATATTTGATTTTTAAAATTTTCAAGGTAACAGAGGGCGTATTAGCCATGGTGTAGTTTTTCCCATGGCGCACACCGAGTTTTCATGATTGACTATTGTTGAATAAATAGCATGGTCTAACTCAATAAAAAAAACTAGTTCGTATTTCGTAAGTTGAAGAATCATTACGCTCGAACGTGTGCTCTTAATATAGAAGCTTGACGCCTGCGAGAGGTTCCACTCTTGGCGTGTTGTCTAGTGTGTTGGGCAGAGGAAGAGTCACTAGAGCACTTTTTTTGTGTTCCCGGTGGCGGTGGCCCTTTGGGAGGCTTCTAATTTCCGACAAGAGCTGGTCCGGTTGCCGACACAAAATTTTGCGGTGTTCTTTAGGCACTTCATGGAGGGGAACTCTTCAAGCCATAGGATGGTTAAGGTGGTTGGTATCTGCTGACGAGTTTTTAAGAAAATGATGTTTGAAGGAGATGCGAAGGTATTCATTAATAAGGTGAACCAGGGGTCGCTTCATGATACCAGAGGACGAGCCATCTATCAGGAGCTTCATCGCCTATTTGCAGAATTCATAGAATGAAAGTTTGGGTTATAGGAAGGCAAAACAATAAGGTAGTCCATGTAGTGGGTAAGAAGGTCTTGCTTTTGTTTCCTGTTGTTGGTATTGGTTTTGATTTCCAAGCTTTGCTCTTATCGGAGTCCCGAATTAGGGTTATAGCCTAATAGGTATAATATGCCCTCTACTATGACATTTTATCAAACATGCACCTTTACTATTTTTTACATCAAACACGCCCATGTAGTTTGGAAAAACTATCAAACATGCCCTTTTGTTGAAATTTCCATTGAAAAAATCGCCAATCATGGTTGAATCGAAATTTAGATGACCCAACATCGGCAAATGGGAGGGAAATTATAAGTTTTGACCATGATTTATTTCTCTAGGTCTCGTCAAAGTGAAATTTTATTAGAATTATTTGACTATACATAAGAACCAAAAAAATTCTAAAGTGAAATTATTACGAATATTTTAGACATTTGTGTCACCCAAACCAAAGTTTGGTCGTGGTTAACGATTTTTGGATAAAAATTTCAACAAAAATGCATGTTTGATAATTTTTCCAAAGTACAGGAGCATGTTTGATGTAAAAAATAGTAGAGGGACATATTTAATAAAACGTCATCGTAGATGGACATATTATATCTATAACCCCGAATTATGTATCATTTTGGTTTTGGTAATGCAAGTGGCATTTTGAAAAAACAAAAGTAGAAACATCATTAAATTAATAAATTTAATCAAAAGTCGAAAATAAATATTTTCTGCACTTGATTAGATGATTTATAAGTCAGTCGATTAAACAAAATGACAAACATTTAGGTGACGAAAAAATTAAATTAATCAGTACGTAGTACGTACCCTTTAAAATATTCATAAAGCCAAATGTTTTTTTTTCTTATGGTGAGATTGAAAACCAAATTACCAATCAAGCGGTACTATGAATCTATGGTAGTTTTTTTTTATAAAAGATAATCTTATATTGATTTAAGAAAGAAAGTTACACTCTGAAAATCAGTAAGATCTGAAAATCAAAGAAACGACTCATGATAGTCTTATAAATCAATATTTTGAAATATAATCTTCCATTCCGGGGATAAGTGATACCCATTCAAATTCTTAAAATCACTTAAATAATATAATAAGAGTTTGGGTATGCCTACTATGACATGCATGTCACCGTGACATGGACTTTTCGGTCGACCTATTCTTGAAGGCGGTCGACCGAATTGACTAATTTGGGCAGCACGAGAAAGCATTGCGGTCGACCTCAACGACCACCTGGTCGACCGCACTTAGTTTAAGTTGTTATTTTTGGTCGATCAGAAACAACATGGTCGACCGAAAAGGTATATAGGTCGACCACTTGATGGCAGTCATTAACAA